CAGGAATTGACAGGGCAGAGACACGGCTGACACAAACCCACCGAGCCCATACAGGAAAATGCGAAGTCCTCCAGCCGGGGAGGAGCAATCCCGGGCACCAGTAACGAGCTGGGCCAGCCGGCTGTGCAGAAAAAGGCCTGGGATCCTTGTGGACAAGGAGCTGAACACGAGCCAGCAATGCGTCCTTGCCGCAGCGATGGCCAGTGCCGTCTCTGGCTGCACGGGAAGAACACGGCCAGCGGGACGTGGGAGATGATCCTTCCAGGCCAAATGTTGCTCCAACGACGCTTTCAGTTTAAATTGAGGAGCAGATGAAATAGAGAAGCTGTCCAGGAAGCAGGGACTGAAAGCAGGAGGTTTCCAGCACAGAGTGTATCAGCCTGAGTTAAATTAAGATCAACACACAACCAACTGGAAAGCAAGGTCTTACATTGCAGAGCGTTAAACAAACACACCCGTAGGCAAAATACAAGTTCCAGCTACGCTACTGGGATATCTCAGCAAGAAATACACCTGATGACAAATAACACCCTACCAGAAACAGCTCATCAGACAGTGAAAGACCCAAGATTAAAGCTTCTTAAGGCTGAGACGGATGTGAGCAGTGCATTATGTCTGGCTGGAAACACAAGAGTGACTTTACCATGCACAGATTCAGCATCTCTGCAGGAAGAAATAAACCCCAGCACTGCTCCATGTCGCTTCAAAGCAGCGAAATGCAAGAATGTTCAAAATCAGGCAATAGCAGGAAACACTGAGTGCATTTTCCCACACTGTTCACCAAGAAGGAGCTTGGAAAGCTCACGGAGACTCATGGGAGAAACCTCAGCCTCATTAACAGCTTCTGCTTCTGAACCAACAAAAGGAGCAAGGAGTCACCAGGGCCAGGTATGGCCCCAAGCTCCGACAGCCAAAACTGCTGCTCCAATTCCGGTGTAAAGCCTTGCCCAAACTGATGAGAACCAAACCACGGCTGCAGTGCCAGTGCTGGAGCGCCCCAGAACGGGCTCAGGAAACCCCAGGCTGGTCAGGCTGCTGGCAACAGAAACCGCAACAGATAACAGGGATCTGCGTGTTGATCAGTGAGGAAAGAGCACAGCTTTTGTACGGGAGAGAACCGACACAGCGGTGCCAAGGTGCCAGTGAGCACCTGAACAACAACACGGTGCATGTCTGGAAATTACTCAGCAAGGCTCCTCCAGGGCTCGTCAGACAACCAACCCGGCAGGAGACAAGAGGGCTGGTCTTGCCATGTAAGAGGCAGGGATACATGAAAAGAATTAGTCAGTTCTCAACATAAAAACACATCGAAACACCATGCTCTGGCTTCCCCTCACAACTGGTGTCCCCTCCACTGCCCGGGTGTTTCCAGCACTGGTTTCTCTCTCCAGAGCACATCTGGAGTCCTCAGGACAGGAGCACGTCACGGGAACTTCAGACGGTGAAGCTCACCAAACCAGCAGGCTCCCATAACAACGCGCCATGTCCCGTGGCCTCCTGCGTCACAAAACGGTGACTCACACTGGTCCAATTTACAGGATGCAGAAGATGAAGCATGACAAGATTTACGGTAGCACCTTGGGGACAAACCAGCTCACTGACACAAGGTCAGACTCCCAGCTCGACACCGTGACCACCAAACGGGAGCGTTAAAGCAAAGCCCTTTGCGTAGCCCTTACCAAAATACACCCTGTGCATCAGTCGTGGTTAGGACAACACAGACCAAATCTGCTGACTGTGTGCACCCTGCTGCAGCAGATCGCAAGGGTGGCCTCGCTCAGCCTATCTGCAATGCAGCAGAATGACTACAGCCTTCGGAGGTAGCTGAGCATCGTGATGTTTCTCTGCACTCGAGTCTTACACTTTGCAAAGCGATTTATAGCATCTGCTCACAACCAAGCATATGCTGCTTTCCTGACGAGCCCCGACTTCTGGCGATACGCAGCTCTCGGGGAGAACCAGCACAGCCAGGACCACGGCTCAGGGTGTTATCTCCTGCACACTTCCATACCCGGGGGACGGTTTCCCGAGAGAAAGGAAAGCAGCCGGCTGCTGCGGGCCTGGAAGCTGGGGCCCTTCAGGACATGCACATTTGAGATCAAGCTGTCTATAATTCATGAGGTACGATGCTCGGTTCAGGTATTTTTGTAAGTCAATTATTTTGAATAAAAATCTACCTGGGGAAAATCACCATGTGAAGCACCCAGGGCACCCTCCCGTCCAAGCACACGCTTTTGCTGCTTCTGGCCCTAAAAGCTGTGCTCGTTTGGGGTTTTCCAGGGGGTTGTTGTTTTGTTTTGGCATTTTACACTAAAGTTGGGCTTGTGAAGTCAGAGCTCAGTTAACCCTTGGAGGGCCAGGACAGCTCCCCAGCACAGCACAAGAAGAGGCAAGTGCCAAACACATCGCCCCTTGTTCCCCACAGCCCAGAGCTGCTTGCCCTCCAACCCCACAGGTCTCCTCTGGGCCAGCTGTCGGTGCCAAGGCCCAAGTGCACCATTCAGTAGCTTTTTGGAATATTTTTTCCCCCATTTTCAAACCCAAGCTCTTCCACCTTCTGTTAACGTGATGCATTCTTTCTGCTGAGATTAATTACCCCTGTCTACCATCTACACACTGAAATCTTTCAGAAAGCCACCACACAGCTGCAGCAAAGCAAGGAAACTAATTATGTGAATTGGCTTCTTTTAATACAAAGCCCTCCCGCGTGGGTTGAGATGACAAATCCATGTGTTTTCTACCCTTCTCACACAAGTGAAATCCAGAGTCAGCTCCCATCAGCCACCACAGAGTGGTAATGAAAGAATCCAAACTGTGGCGTCCTCCCCTGCTGCTCCTGTGGTCAAACCTCAGAACAAGGGGGTTTCTACTGACCCCGCTCAGCACACCCGTACGATGCAGAAGTGAGCGGATGCCCTGAGTAACACAATTAAATGATAAAAATCTACTTGAAACAGCTCAAATATTCCAACTGTGTAACAGGAAGAACGGCAAAAACAACAAAGAGAAAAGATCCAAAAGGGCCTCAAGTCTTACATTAAAACAGTGATTACAATTAGTTAAGCAGATCGAGTTTCCAAGCAAGAAATGCTTCGGAGGAAAATGTACCACTTCTTCAACATCTCCAGTTCTGAGAAAGAGCCACGTTTAGTTTTGGTCTCTAAAGCAGTAGAATTTGTCCATTCACCAACTGTGTTCGCCTTCCCTAACCTGAAATCCCACTCCACTCCACCCACATTTCAGCAGCGATTCATTCCTGGTTTGGAAGAGCAGGAGCGCACACTTACTGCCCAGACGGGAAGTCCTTCTCATTCACCACAGCGCAGTTGGTTAAGGACAGCTCGTCGGTGGGACATCGGGCTGCTTGCATAGACTGCGAGGGAGAGAGAAGAAAACCTGTGAAACAAAGCTTTTTCCTTTACTAAGCCGAGCCTCAAAACTTCTGCAAGTCCACAAAACACAAACAGGTGTCATGAGTATCAGCACCCTGAGAGCGTAGCCAAGCTCCTCTCCCTCTTCATAGTTTCTCCAAACGCTTCTGTGTGTCACAGGGGTTTGCACCCAAAAATCTGCATTTTGTGAGCCTAGTATAGCTTTTATTTTCTAGCACACTTATGAAAAATACCTGCAGATTACCTAGGAAAAAGCTTGGAAGGCAAACGCCGTTAACTCGCCAGTGAGCCCTAGTGCTCATGCAACACAAGCGTTCACTGGAAGGCTTTTCTTGCCCAGTAACAAGGCACTGGGATGCACTGGGAGCTGGGGAGGCAGAGCAGTTCCACTGCAGTCCTGGGCGACCCTCTCTGACTGTGCTGGGTTAGAGACCACGTGGGGAAAGAGGGTGGAATAAAGTCACCACTTTCCTCTCCCATCACTTCACTGTGAAAGCTGACATCTGATGTACTCTGGATACAGGCACTTTGGGCAACACAACACAGGGCACTGCTGAAGTCCACAGCAAGGTTTAATTCTCAGCCGGCTGCCACCCAATGCCACAGAATCTCCCCCCATATCTTCTCAAAAGAAACAACACGATGCAAACCCTATCTCCTACTCTACGGGAAACATCATAGACCAGTAACAAACAGAAGAAATCAGCAGCTACAACAGCCAAGCACCACCAGTCCCACCCCACTGCAGAGCAGCACACAGGGGCGTGCAGCAGAGGGTCCCAAAGGGAAACCTCAGCCCTCCCCTGCATCCCTGACCCGCTCTGCTTCTGCTCTATTATTCCACAAAGCAGCGGCTGGAGAAGAAAACTGGGCTCAAAATGCCCCCAGAACGGAAAGGATGGGGAAGGTAAGATGTCTTAACATCGGCTACGGACTGGGAATACAACATTGGAGAAAAGCTGGTCCTGACCCCCGACGTTATTTCTGGAGCCACAGCACAGCCGTTCTCTTTGTCAGACACCAGTCTGCAGGCAGTGCAACACAAACCGTCTGTCAGTGCTGAAAGCAACCCAGACCGGATTTGCTCCTGAACACGCTCAAAACGCGCGGATCCCGAGGCACACATGTGGATAATGCCCCAGGAGCTCAGGTCCTGCTCAACCTTCCCCTGCCCTCTGGGACAGCCGAAGAAAGAGAAAACCCACCTCCGTGTGGACTGCAGCAAGCCTGCCCTATAGCTCAAACCAACTCCGTACGTCGTAATGCCATTCTGCTAAAGCACTTGCTGTTTAGAGAAGGACTAATTCATTATTTTCCTTGAATGCGGCTCAATTGCCCTTGACTTATTGGACCACAGAAAAAAGACTCCATTTTCAGCCTTGAAACAGATTTATCTACCGGAATCTCGAGCACAACGAGAGACTCAACTAAATATTCTATAAATAATAAAAACAGATGAACACCAATGGATCTCTGCAGTGCACAGCCTGCCTGCTACGGTTCACCATCTTGAGGCACTTCACACAAAACAGCATTTTCACTGTTTTACCGTTTCTCCTGCCGTTTGCGAGGGCACTGTTTTGTGAAGGGCATGCCCTGACAAAACGCATTAGGTAGGATATTTTGGGAAAACCAAACACACAGCTTCTGGATTAAACCCTTTTACAGCACTGGTGCTCGGCTGCATTTTTAATCCTTACTGACAAACCCTTCCTACACGTCAACAGCAGGCGCCTGCAAAGTTACCCTTCTTCTGCGTTATTCCTGTCCGCATTTGGGAGCGTGCAAGCTCTGCTTTAAGCAAACGCGTGAATATACAGGAACACATTTCAAATGCAGCACCAAGCACTTCTCCTGCAAGCTCCACAATGTGACAGATGCACGGCAAAACCCCCTTGGGTACACGACACGTGAAATAACGGGGCTGCTCCTGCCGCAGCGCCAGTCCAGACTGAGCCACCCTGGCCCAGACTGAGCCACCCAGCCTGGACTGAGCCACCCAGCCTGGACTGAGCCACCCAGCCCGGACTGAGCCACCCAGCCCGGACTGAGCCACCCAGCCCGGACTGAGCCACCCAGCCTGGTGCACTCCCCTTCTGGGGTGTTTGGCAGAAGCTCACTGCTCCCTTGGCAATAACCAGCATTTCAGACCGCAGCTATAACCCACGCCGAGCTCCCAGCTCTCCTCGAGCTCCAAGACCATTCTGCAGACCTTCCACACATTATCAATACACAGGGGTGTTTTTAACATAATACAGCTGGCGCAAGAAAAGGGCATCACTTGATGGGTGCGGGTTTTCATGAGTGTACAAGGGATGGTTCGAGGAAATCTGACCACGTAAGAGATGAGGACTAAACGGGAAAGCACGCAGACAAGGAGGAGGCGCACACCGCTCCAGTGAAGGGCAGGGGCCTCCTCTGCCCCCTCTGCTCACATCCCAGCACCGCAGCTCGCAGGGATCCTGTCTGTCTGCCGAGCAGCCGAGCTGTCGCAGCGAGGATGCAGCACTGGCTGCTCCTGAATCAGTGTTTCTGGCATAAATGCAGCAGTTCAAAGCTGGAACATGAGTCACCGGAGCCTGGAGGGCTGTCACATGCCAGTGGTGGTGCTGTCAAGAAACACTTCAAGCTCTTGCGTTTTCGGTTCCAGCTTCCCAGGACAGCAGTGCAAGGACTCCCTGCGCCCTCCCCTCCTCTGCCATCCGGCACTGATCGCCTGCACTGGCACAACACCCGTCAGGAACAGGGGAAGCAAAATCCTTCAGAGCATTTCTAAGAAACCGCAGCGTGATGGGGTTGATCTCTGCAGATCACCCAGTGCAGCCCCTGCCAGAGCAGGGTCACCAGAGATCACCCAGGAACACGGCTGGGGGTTTGGGTGTCTGCAGAGAAGACGACTCCACAACCTCTCTGGGCAGCCTGGGCCATGCTCTGTGCCCTCACATCAAGGAGTTTTCCCTTACATTTAGGTTGAACCTCCTGCCTTCCAGTTTGGACACTGTTTGAACCCTGTGCCAGAAGGCTCAGCGATGCCGACACGTTTTGTTTTCACAATGTAAAGGCTGCCCCAAAGAACAAGTAGCTTCATAACAGAAACAACCACCACAAGATCTCATCTTTCCAAGATTTTGTTTTTCAAAGCTGCATGGATTCCAGTCTTCCTCCACCAAAACATGAAACTGAGCTGTCCCTGCGTTTTAGGGGAGCTCAGCCCACAACCAACGCTAAGCTATCTGTATCTTTTCATACATACATAAAAACCCCAACTTTTCTCCTGTTGAATCTCAAGACAAGCATCCAAAGCAAGGCACTGCTAGTTTAAAACATGACTGGGGATGAGAATGAATAATGAAATCTCTGGAATATCATACGCAGTACACCCTACTACAGAGCTGTGTGGGCGAGCACATAGTACAAAATTATGGTTAATATCTGTGAATTGTTAAGGCTGATGATGGAGGAAGCTGAAGAAAAACACGTTTCCCATTAACCAGGCTGCACAGGAGGTAGGGTGGTGGTACACACCGGCAGGACACCACTACCTGTCGGCTGTCACTGAACACAAGAGCTAAAACATCGCATGCTAAAGCAGAGATGTTTCATTTGAAACAGCTTAACTCATCTAATTTCCTAATCCTACCCCAGAGATTATGAAACAGCTTCTGGAGCCAAGGCAGGTTTTGCTCTGTGCACTGTTTCTATGGGGTTTATATAAGAAAACCTTTTTCAAGTGTTATATGTTGAATATTTTCTTTTGTGTAAAACATATAGGCACATATGCTTACACGCAGATGGACGCACATCTGATTTCTGTCACGCAGCTGTGGGCAGACAAGCATTGGGAAACACGACAACTGGGTACTAGAAATACAAGTGTCCCCTGTAGAGCTGCTGCACAGAAATGGGGATCCCCACCCCAAAAAGCGTCAGTCCTCTGCTGAATGGCTGTCAGGCACCACAGAACCTCCACACCCCGAGCCTCGTCACCCAGAGAAGAGGGCGATGAAGAAACCCAAGTCATTATGGGTGGGGGTTATTCCTGGGAAGAAAGCTCAGTCCATGTTCACTAGAGACCGAGCAGCGTGTGCCCGCCTGCTGCCGGTGTGACCAATTCAATCACCGCTAAAAGTCTGCAAATAAAGTCAGTTTGAATACTGAAAGGAAGAATTGTGATATTAAAGGAGCTCTGAAGATAAACACAGAACTGAGAGGATGATGCGTAGACTCTGCAGACTGCAGAGAAAGCAGACGAGCACGAGGCGTTGCTGTGCACGTATTGCACTGCGTACGGCCTGCACCCAAGAGCTGATGGACCAGCGAGAACAGAACCAAGGTGAACGTGAACCCTGCAGACAGCAGCAGCACCAACAGGATGAGCTGCAGCAGAGCTGGGTCAGCCATAGCCTGGAGAAGGACACAAACCAAGCTCTCCCAGCGCAGCGAAGCCTCGAGTGGTGCATGACAGCATTCCCCCTGCACACACCCCCAGTGGAGCCGAAAAACACCCCTACACTGAAGGGCAGAGGAAACTGGAGTCAAACGATAGCAATGCTGTCACAGCCAGTGACGAGCAGTTAGGAAAGGGTTCCCAATCACCGTAATATCCTATAGCAACAGCAAAGACAAACCCAAAACTCCTTTTAGAGAGGGCATTCAGTAATATTATTAAAGGAATGACAACATGATGCCTACAACAGGTACCAGACTCAGCAACATGAGGTGTCCTGAAGGTTGTGTTCCTACAATTTAAAAAGAAATAAAAAAATCCTACAGAAGTTACTCGTTTGCAGGTTTTTCCGGACATCTGAAAACAACACTCGAATACAGCCTGCAGAGCTCTGCAGCACGGCTGGTGCACAGGGAGACCAAACACCTACAAATAACTCGGGACAGCAGGCCTGGCAGGACAGGCTTCCTGCCCAGACCCCCAGGCACCCCAGAGCCCGCTGTGCCCAGCAGGGCCATCCCACTGTGCCCCG